GAAAACAAAACTAATCAGAATTGAGTAAAATATGACTTACCTTCATCGTCGTCGTCGTCCAAAGTGAACCACGAGCGTTCATTGATGAATAAGGAAACCTTCACGTCCCAATCCCTCCGGGATATTGAATTCTTTGCCTGCACTGATTTGGGAGATTGGACCCTCTGCTCCTGGGGGAATCTCTGATGTACGTTGAATCTGTAGCTAAGGTTAAATTACGACAAAATCCCTCAAGTTTGGATAATTACTACTATCACCTCAACTATGAATCTTTTTACATATTCACCATTGTGGTGTCAAATTTAGTGGATTCGTCAAGATTACGTGGGATATTGTCTATTTTGTACCCATTTTACCCCATTCAAACTACACATTTTGTAACAAGATGGTCATAATTATAAGATATGTCTCTTGACTTATAAATACACCAGATTGTGATGCATCATAAACTGTATTTTTTGCACAAAACGAGTACATGAAACTCAATCCACATACTCCACTCCAAAGAAATCGTATCAACTTTGCAATCTAATCACATCAAGATATCAAAACAATTTACATTTAAACTTTAATAATGAACTTCAAATTACTTAAACAAACATATACCCTTATCAGTCCTACATCAATCGAGAGGTATCCTTAAATAGAACTATGTCCTCAAAATAGCGTCCTAGCAACTCATTTCTTTCATAATACTCTATTATAGAAAATCTGGCAGCCTTGATACTTCAACTTTAAAAATTCATATCTTTTAAACCGTACATACAACCCTTATGAAATTTTTACACAACGTTCACATATATTTGCTTTATATCATATTAAAATAGTGAAGTAAAATACCTACCCATGGGAGAGAAATAATTATTTTAGTATAGTACAACTAGCAGAATTTTTAGAACAGGGCATTCAACTTCGAAAATACAAAATAAATCATTCTTTCAGCCAAACACTATGAAATTTAGCTGATTATCAGTTTTATAAGTTTATAATCATATGCAATTAGGATCGCATGAATCGGAATAAGATAAAATCTAATTTAACACATAATTCATAGATGACTCAGAAATTATGCAGTTTCAGAAAAAGGTTCATAACTTAATCAATATAATTTCGATTTACGCATATTGCATATCAAAACGAAGCTAACAGAAATATCTACATGCACAATTAATTTCATAATTTTAGGAAAATAAACCATCAATGAAACATGCACTGGAATCTGAGGCTACGAATTTGGAAATTGAACTAGGTTTCATTGAAATCTATATTTCTTGACCTAAATCCCCAAATTCGATTCATAAGTATATTAATCAATTAAAACACATAAAAATCATCTTATTATTTGGGGAAAATTACAATCACCCCCTTATGGTATGGTCAAATTACAAAAAAAAAACCCTCTTGTTTGGATAATTACAACCACCCCCTCAAGTATCAATCTTTTTACACGTCCACCCTTGCGGTTTCAAATTTAAAGGAATTTTCGAGATTATATGGATTATTATCACTTTTGTACCCGTTTTATCCTATTCGAACTCCACATTTTGAAGCAATATGTTCATAATATGTGTTTTTAAGCTTGTATATATCAGATTGTGGTGCATCAGAAACTGTATTTTTACGCAAAACAAATACAAACTAGAGCACATTTCACGAAATCTAGATGATTATGTTTAAATTCTCTATTTTAAGGAACTGTCGTAGGAAAATTGGGAAGGAAAAAGAGGAGAAATCTTCCTAGCTTAAACTAGGAAATTAGGAGGAAATTTACCTAAGGGCTATAATGTAACATTTAAAACAATATATGGTCCTAATAGCAATTAAAGAACACTTGGGGGAGTAAGTCATCCACATACACACAATGCCACACCAACTCACGTAGCATACATATACACACAACATTCATACATGTATCTACTTACAATTAAAGATACATTGCATTGATTAATTATCATATCATAATTTTCATAAGGCCATATAAATTATAATATAATTAAGCGTGTACATGAGAGACAAATCAATATAATCTAAATTTAATATCAATATCAGCATTGATTAATTATTTCATTGAAAGCACATAATTCATTTAATCACATAAATAGAATTACTTAATCATTCAATCAAATCAAGTTGATCGCATATTTAATCACATATTATGAATCACATAAATTGTTAGGATGCAATAAACATTTACTAGTTGATTCATGAAACGGAAATTATCAATTTACTCAATATAATTTTATATAATATGTTTATGGCGAAACAAGTCGATGAATCGATTGAGCATATGGAAATTGTGGAGGTGATGGGGAAACGCGATATTGTTTTTTAACTTTTATAAAATTATTTAGGCGTTTGAACTTTTATTTAATTAGTATTTTATTGATTGTATTTATATATCAATTAACTTCAACATTTGAATGATGTATGTATGTGTATATGCATGCATGTGTGTATATATATGCTTGCTTAATAAACTAGAGTTCAAATTCGACTTTTGTTCCATATTTAAAAGTTAAAATCAGATTCAATTTTTTATATAATTATTTTAGTAAACTACTATAAATAACTAACCCTGTTCAATAATTTCCTTAGGCCTCGTTTGGTCAAAATAAAATTAATCAAGATAAAATTAAATAATTTAATGAAGCTAATTATAGTATTGGACTTTCGATAATCCAATAAAAAAACATGTCAGAAAGGCAAGATAAGACAGCATAAATATTTGCGGGTTGACCCAACAAGTTATTGGATATCCCAAAAATCAAACAAAGTCCTATTATTTAGTTAATCATGGCTAATCTCTCCAAACAAACGAGGCCTTAAAATATTATACTTTACGGGATACTTCTGAAGTGTACTATATTGCTCAATAACCACTGATTTTTTTTTTTAAATATGATAAATAATTTTATGTTAATATTTAATATAATTTCAACGCTTTTAATTATTTTATCCAATTTGACAATATATTTAAACATAATGTTGACAAGATGGATCATACTTTGCTACCCACTCATCCACTACAAACTCATAAGTACAAAAACAATGGCACTATCATGTCTAATTTATATATTGATGTAGTCGCTAATGATTCAGCAAGAATTTTTTATATTTAATTTAATAAGAATATTTCTCTTAAAACAAAAGATTATGAGAATCATTATTTATGATGCCACACATCATGTGCTTTACAAATTTTATTTATATTTTTTTGTGTGAACTACGAATCTTGAAAAAAGTATGCAATTTTTTAATAAGAGTAAATTACAACCACCTCCCTGATGTAAGGTCTATGTATGAAAAAACCCCTCATGTTTTAATAATTATATCTACTCCCCTATATTTCTTACATTAACACCCTTTTGTAGGGGTTAATGTATAAAAATTACAAACATCAGGGGCTATATGTATTTCTCAAACACAAGGGTTTTTTGTAATTGCACGTGACCTCAAGGAGGTTGTTTTAATTTACTTAACATATCTGATTTTTTTTTTTTTTTAACAATCATATAACTATGTAGATTGCATTGTATTAATCAAAAACCCCACATAAATTACTATACTTTATGAATAGCTATAATCTTATCTTATCTTATATATAAAAGAAAGAAACGTATGGGCAATCCTAGAAAATCCTAATGGTATTTCTGTAATTATTTATATTTTAATATTTTTTTATGTACTAATTTCTAACTATAATTTATGACAATTATCAAAATTGAAACTAAACCGTGAAAAATCCTACCCTAGTGGTACTTTGATCAAATTTTCCTTCAAAATCATTCAATCGATTAGTCACATCATTTAGTTTATTTTTAATCTATTTATTTTTATAAATTAAATGTCAACTCATTCAACCAGCTATTGCATTAACTGTTATAGCAGGCCATATGACCAAAATTCTCAATTTTTTTTAACTTACAAGACTAAAATTATAATTTTGAAATATGGTGGACTAAGACTCTCAACTAATAAACTTATTGGACTAAAAACTCAATTTGGCAGATATGTATGTGTATTGAATGAGATGAAGGTGTGTTTGGGTACGTAGAAGTTTGTATTTGTAAAGAATTAGTCAAATTAGATTGGATTATTATTACTATTTATCTTGCCCCCGTTTGGTTGTCAAAACAAGATTAATCAAAATAAAATAAAATAATCTAATGAAACTCAATTGTGTTATTGGACATTGGAAGATTCAATAAAACAAGAAGTCGTTTCGTTTCTTTTTTATTTTTTAGCGCGACGTCTAATGATGTAAGTTCAATTCTTCTTGCCAGTAGTTTCTAGGTCGTGCTCGTTGTACATTCCTTGTTGAATCACATTTAAATCTCTTGTTTGATTTACGAGCTATCACATGAGATTGCTATTTGCCTTATGTTTGTAAAGAAATGAATATTTATTGTGGAATAAGTATTAGCAATGTACATATGAATCCTATGCATACATTGAAATGTATGTATAACTCCTTTATCTTTTTGTATGATGTTATAGAGCACGCTTGTATTATAACAATTCCAAAATTGAACTATTTAATAAAGTTTGTAATAGAGACATGACCAAAAACATGAACAATAATAGTAGAGCATCTTTATAGAATATTCTCTTGTTGGTTATTTGTGAAAGTGTGTACTCTGATTTTGTAGTGACATAATTCAAACAAAATAAACAGTAGAACATCGCTTAAATAAAAATTTATTACGGTACTAGTTCAATAAAAAATGTATTAAATTGTTAATTCGATAAATTAATAGTTTGCTAAAGTAATATAATTTTGTTAGTGTCCGTATTAATTTATAGAGGGCTGACTGTAATGGGAGACGACATTAGGTGTACAATTGTTCGATTATGGACCACAACATTAATTAATTATATTTTATGTCCCTTTAAGAAAACAAATTTGATTTTAGTATTTGTTTTTGTAACCGAAAAAAAATAGAAAACGATTTTCTCTCTTCTTTCTTTGTCTATATATAACTAATTCCGGGGAGTGTCTTCTGGATCACAACTCTCTCTCTCTCTCTCCGCTCTTTCTCTCACACACAGTAACACACACACACTTTCTCTCTCTTCAATTTCTGATCCCCTTCTCTGAGAACCCCACTTGTCCAGATTCAGGTAATACTATCATGATTAATGATCACTCGCACATAGTCGTTTTCGAAACGCAATCCATTTTTGCATGTGAATTTTAATTTTTGATTTTTTGATTTTTATTAATGGTTTGCATGAATTTAGTAAGCTGCAACTCCATGATCGTCGGATCGTGATTAAAAGTTTGCTTGTGATTTTTGTGCAGGATTGGGGGTTAGGGGAAAACCGACGGCTCGATGGCGACGAGGAATTTGGAGAAGATGGCATCAATTGATGCGCAGTTGAGGCTATTGGTACCTGGGAAAGTGTCCGAGGACGACAAGCTTATCGAGTACGATGCTTTGCTTTTGGATCGATTTCTCGATATTCTTCAGGATTTGCACGGAGAGGATCTCAGGGAAACGGTATGCATTCTCGATTTTTTTTTTTTGAATTTGGGGATTTTTTATATGTTTCTGGCTTCCTTTGAATCGAGTGTTTGATTTGATTGTGATGTTAAAAAAGTTTGATCGCGACATTTGAACGAACGATTTCGTTAGTTTTTTTTTTATTTTATCGAGATCATGCTGTGGCAAACCTTCCTGAATGGGACTGTTGTTGAAAAGATTGGATATTTGTGTTAGTTCTATAGAGGAAGTAGCGATTAGCCTTATAAACTTTTGGCTCCATCTCTTGTTCTGATTTGTAAATGTAGTGTTTCGACTTTCGAGATGGCTACGGTTAAAGAAAAGTAGAAGATCGGTACATTGTGTTGTTACATGTTGGTTGGTAGTAGCAGTCGTCACTGATTTAACTCCACCCTTTTTGGCTCGATTTCACTAACGTCGTGACTGGATCAATGATTTCGAAACGAGGAAAAAATGAAAATGCAGAGCAAAACGAGACTTATTCCCCAGTAAAACTGTTGTCTCGTAAAAAATTTGTGAACTGATTTACCTACCATTTTCGCTTTCTTACTCCATGTTTTCTTGATCCAATCACAGCCTAATCGATTTCGGCTGGAATTGATTCTTTTTTTCTGTACTAATGTTGTAGGTGCAAGAATGCTATGAGCTTTCTGCAGAGTACGAAAGCAAGCGCGATGCTAAAAAGTTGGAAGAGCTTGGAAATGTCCTGACAAGTTTGGACCCCGGGGATTCGATTGTTGTTGCAAAAGCTTTCTCTCACATGCTTAACTTGGCCAACTTGGCCGAGGAGGTTCAGATTGCTACTCGCCGCCGAAACAAGAAGAAGAAAGGAGATATTACCGACGAGAGCAATGCGACTACTGAATCCGACATAGAAGAGACACTCAAGAGACTTGTGGTTGACTTGAAGAAGTCTCCTCAAGAAGTTTTTGATGCACTGAGGAATCAGACCGTAGATCTGGTTTTTACGGCTCATCCGACACAGTCTGTAAGAAGATCGTTGCTACAGAAGCATGGAAGGTTAGTTTTTGTATTGGATCGCATTTGGTTCATGTTTTATATCTGCAAGAAAATTTTAGCATGTTCTATCGGATTAGTCTTTAATTCTTTCGTCTTATCGCCCCGAATGTTTGTTTTTCAGGATTCGGAATAACTTGGCACAGTTATATGCTAAAGACATTACACCTGATGATAAACAGGAGCTTGACGAGGCTTTGCAGAGGGAGGTAAATTCTTGGTGCTTATTAGTTCATAACTTCATATGCATCAAGTAATTAGTTTCATATGTATTTTAAAACGGTGTTTCTTAAGTTTTGAGTAGCGCTAGAGTAATTTGTGAAATGATTCTATCTGGAGTTTAAATTTAATTCTTAAATATCTTGCATTTACCATACTAAAATACCTACGTTTCCTCTATAATTAAATTATATGATAAGTAAGAGAAATGAAACAAAGAAGGATAAATTAGTGGACTGCATTACTAAGCTCGATTTGATCATGTCAGACTATCCAATTTCTGTCCCGAATTTTTTAATCTGATATAATGGAGGATTTGCTGCATCCTCTAGTACCATCATGGCGAACTCATAACTCTTCTTCAGAGCTTTTAATATATGAGACGATTTTATCGTCTCTAAAAAAACTTTTATCTGTAATTTGGATTTTTGAGTTCTGATTTGTGTATGTGCATCACTGAACATTTTCTTTGCAAATAAATGTAGCGTTACAATGGTCTTTTTTGTCGATCTCAAGTTTGATATTCTGTATCTGTAAGTTTTTCTAAGATGGGATTTTTTTTTTCCTGTAGATTCAAGCTGCTTTTCGAACTGACGAAATCCGAAGGACTCAACCTGCACCCCAAGATGAAATGAGGGCAGGGATGAGTTACTTCCATGAAACAATCTGGAAAGGTGTGCCCAAGTTTCTTCGCCGTGTTGACACTGCACTCAAGAATATTGGGATTAATGAACGTATGCCGTATAATGCCCCTCTCATTCAATTCTCTTCTTGGATGGGTGGAGACCGTGACGGTATATTTCTTACTCTTTAAAACAAAAAGAAGAATACATTTCGGTTTATATAGTTTTTCTATATCCTATTTGATATAAATACGGATATCTCTATCAAGATAGATTAACATATTTATAACTTGAATGAATACAGGCAATCCAAGGGTAACTCCTGAGGTCACTAGGGATGTTTGCTTATTGGCCAGAATGATGGCTGCTAACTTGTACTATTCCCAAATTGAGGATCTCATGTTTGAGGTTATTCCCTAATTAGTTCAACAAATTCGCATTGTTAACTTTTTTACTCGTTTTTCGTTGAGCATTGCAATCAAATGGTTTTTTTTTCCTTTCTAATGGTTGACTTTGTCTAGTTGTCCATGTGGCGTTGCACCGATGAGTTTCGTGTTCGGTCTGATGAACTTCATAGGTCTTCAAGGAGGGATGCAAAGCATTTCATTGGTAACCTCCAAATCTCTGTCTCTCTCACACGCACACACAAACACACTCCCTCTCTCTCACACACCCATTCCATAGTTCTCTCTCTCTGTTGTCTGTCTCAATGATCCTTCCTTGTGATGCAGAATTTTGGAAAACAATTCCACCAAGTGAGCCTTACCGAGTAATTCTCGGCGATGTCAGAGACAAGCTGTACCAGACACGTGAGCGTGCTCGCCATCTGCTAGCTCAAGGAGTTTCCGACATCCCACAAGAAGCCACTTACACAAGCGTTGAACAGGTTCCCCTTTTTTTCGTTTCATTGCACTTCAATATATATATATATATATATATATATATATATATATATATATATATATATATATATATATGGTGCTGAACTATTTCAATTTCTTACAACAATTTCTTACAACAGTTCCTCGAACCACTCGAGCTCTGTTACCGCTCCCTCTGTGCTTGCGGCGATGGCCCGATCGCTGACGGCAGCCTCCTGGACTTCCTCCGGCAAGTCTCCACCTTCGGCCTCTCCCTCGTCCGCCTCGACATCCGCCAAGAATCCGACCGCCACACCGACGTACTCGACGCCATCACCAACCACCTTGACATCGGCTCCTACCGCGAATGGTCCGAAGAAAAGAGGCAAGAATGGCTCCTCTCCGAGCTCGGAGGCAAGCGCCCCCTCTTCGGCCCCGACCTCCCCAAAACCGAAGAAATCTCCGACGTCCTCGACACCTTCCATGTCATCGCCGAGCTCCCCTCCGACTGCTTCGGCGCTTACATCATCTCCATGGCCACCTCCCCCTCCGACGTCCTAGCTGTCGAGCTCCTCCAGCGCGAGTGCCACGTCAGCACACCTCTAAGGGTGGTCCCGCTCTTCGAGAAACTTGCCGATCTCGAGGCGGCCCCCGCTGCCGTCGCCCGCCTCTTCTCCATCGATTGGTACAAAAATCGAATCAACGGGAAACAAGAGGTCATGATCGGCTACTCCGACTCTGGCAAGGATGCCGGCCGTTTATCGGCGGCATGGCAGCTGTACAAGTCTCAAGAAGAGCTCATCCAGGTGGCGAAGGAGTATGGTGTGAAGCTTACGATGTTCCACGGTAGAGGTGGGACCGTGGGGCGAGGTGGTGGGCCGACCCATTTGGCTATTTTGTCTCAACCCCCCGACACTATACACGGGTCACTTAGAGTGACGGTTCAAGGGGAAGTCATTGAGCAGTCGTTTGGTGAGGAACACCTTTGCTTTAGGACACTCCAGCGTTTTACCGCTGCTACGCTGGAGCACGGTATGCACCCGCCCGTTTCACCAAAGCCTGAGTGGCGGGCCCTACTCGACGAGATTGCTGTTGTTGCTACCGAGGAGTACCGTTCAATTGTCTTCCAGGAGCCTCGTTTTGTCGAGTATTTCCGCCTCGTAAGTACCTATGATGTTTTTTTGTAGTGTCTCGTTCATTTTATTCGAATAAAATATAATTTTTGGGAAATTTTTGTAGGCCACGCCGGAGTTAGAGTACGGTAGAATGAATATTGGGAGTCGTCCATCGAAAAGGAAACCGAGTGGTGGGATTGAATCGCTGAGAGCGATCCCGTGGATCTTTGCATGGACACAGACGAGGTTCCATCTACCCGTTTGGCTAGGGTTTGGGGCGGCGTTCAAATACGCCATATCGAAGGATATTAGGAACCTTAAAATGCTGCAAGAGATGTACAACAAATGGCCATTCTTCAGAGTGACTATTGACTTGATTGAGATGGTGTTTGCCAAGGGAGATCCTGGTATTGCTGCTCTGTATGACAAGCTCCTCGTTTCTCAGGACTTGTGGCCGTTCGGTGAAAAGTTGAGGTCCAACTATGAAGAAACCAAATCTCTTCTGCTCCAGGTAATTTCTCATCGAAAATTAATGTTTGGTTACTTTTTACAAATTCCTTTTCCCCCTTGGCAATTGACAAATTGTGTTTTTCTAACGACATTTCGAAACCGTTTCGTTTTTACTTTCCAAAACTAAACTGAAACCTCATTCCAATTTAAGACATGATTTATGATTGATTGCCTCAAATTAATTTTGTCTTTAAAATCTTTCCTCAAACACCCTTCTGCCAGAAACAAGATGGAAAACATTCTATCATGGATAAGTTCAACAAAAGTATTATGGGTTTATTGCATTTAGCACCCCCTGTGTTTACTCCAATTGTCAAAAACTCCCCGTGTTATAAATATTAGCAAAATCCCCCTACGATTCAATTTTAGCAACAAAGCACCCCCTAAAATTGCAATACTTAGGGGGGTTGTGTGCCAAAAAATGAATTCTTGAGTTTTTTTTGCGATTATTTATAACCCGAGGAGTTTTGTCTTTTAGCATTTCGGTATAACACAACGGTACTAAATGCAATAAACTCAAAGTATTATATGCTCCCAATGAATGTTGTAGACTTGAGTTGAGACGAAATTAATCAATTACCGTTTTGAATAATAGATTGCAGGGCACGAGGATCTTCTAGAAGGCGACCCCTACTTGAAGCAACGTCTGAGACTTCGTGACTCGTACATTACAACATTGAACGTATGCCAGGCTTACACTCTGAAACATGCCCGTGACCCTAACTACAACGTAAAACTGAGGCCTCGTATTTCAAAGGAGTACATCGAATCGAAACCAGCTGCTGAGCTCGTTAAGTTGAACCCTACAAGCGAGTACGCCCCTGGATTGGAGGACACACTTATATTGACCATGAAGGGTATCGCCGCTGGAATGCAGAACACCGGTTAAATTACATCTTCTTTCCCGTTTCGGTTTTTTGTTTTTTATTTCCTTTTTTATCCCTTTTAAGTGAGTGAGAAACGACTTCTCCCCGTAGATTTGTTGTATTTAGGGGGGACAAAACGAAAGAAATTCGGGCTGCCCATAAATGTGTTTCGACTTTGCTCAACACATGCGCTTTTTTCTTTTAATCGAATGTTAATGGACTAGTGACATCTTGAACTCATGAAAACAATGGTTCAATGGTGAAATTGGTCCTTTTTTATGGTTCTTTCATGAAATAATACATCGTTTCTTTATTACTGTTGATTTTTTTAATTTTTTTTTTAATTTCTTTACGACCACACGTGAGGTATGCTAAAATTACAAAAAAAATCTGATGTTTGGGTAATTATAACCACCCATTTACTATGTATTGTCTTACACGTTTACCCTTACGGTGTCAAATTTACCTTCTGAGGGGTTTTTTCGTAAGATCATAAATAATTGAGTGGTGGTTGTAATTATCTTTAGAAAAAGGGTTTTTTTGTAATTTGGTTTACTTCAGGGGTGGCGTCTAAACCATAAAATGGTTTTTTCTGTGAAGAATATCAAGTTCTTAATAGTAGGAATTTGATATATGAGAATACCAAATGAAACTAGCATTGGCGTTCCAAAGTGAATTATTAGAACTATAGAGGATTAACTAATAAATAGTGAAACAATTAAACTTATACAAGAATTAAAAAGATTATAAAAACTATCAGTCAAAATTTGACTTATTTATAGAAAATAGTAAAATTTGCAAATTATTAAAATCAATGCACTTTTGTTTATGTATGGCTTAATTTCACTTTGCATTCTTGAAATGTAGTATTTTGGAATTTTGCACCATCAAAAACAATTAATAGCACTTTTACACCCTCAAAATACAATAAATCATTCACAATGCACTATGAATTGAACTTTTTTAAACTTAATGAGGGAATTTTTTTTAATTTGCTTTTTTTAGGGGTGCAAAATAAAATTTTAAATTTTTATTTTATACTACCCTCTAACCTATTTTCAAGAGTAAATTTTCTCACTAGATTATTCGATTAGTGGATCTTTTATTGTAATTGGTTAGAATATTTGAAAGAATATATAGCTTTCAATAATACATGAACTTTTTTTTATGTAAAATATATTTGTGATAAAAAAATATAATTTTTAAATATCTCGATGGGATGTATTATTATTCATTGCAAATTTTAGTTTTGAAAGCATTAACGAATATAAAAAAAAATCATTTAATATTTTGACATCCTACAAAATACCACTACAAATATTAAATTACCTTCATTAGCTTAAAAAATATCCGATGTGGGGTGTATTGTGCATGATTTATTACGTTTTGAGGATGTAAAGTGCTATTTTTTTTAAGGTGCAAAGTGCCAACAAATTATATTTGAAGCGTGGAAAGTGAAATTAAGCCTTTATGTATTAACTACTAGTGGTATCGGACTGGTCAGATCCAAAATATTTTTTCTTAAAAATGTTTTTTTTTTCTCGAAGTGGAAGAGTAACTCTAAATCTACTTCGAAAATTTCGAAAAACAAATCGCAAAATTGGAATGAAAAAGTTATTACAAAATCGAAAATCTTCAAACTAGGACTCGAAATTCAGAAATTCATTTTTTAGTCACCTATAATATAAACTATAAAATTATATTGATATTTAAAGCATTTTTTTAGAATTTTTTTTTTTAATTTCATTCAAATCCGATCATAATTCAAAATTTACTCCAATTTCATTCGGCAAAACAATCGGAAATCAGAACTTCCAAATTTTGAAATGAATAGTTGTTTCAAAATCGGAAATATTCAAATAAAAATTGACGGAACGCATAAATTTCGTTCCAATTTCCATCTTATTTAGGTGATTTTAGTAAAATAAATACAATCCTAATTGTACATATGATCTTTAATTTGTGGGGGTTTTTTATTTTGGTCCTCTATGACTCTATGTTGGTCTATTTAGGGGGGTAAATTTTGGTCCTCTATGTTGGTCTATTTAGAAATTTAGTATCTAAGTTATCCTGTTTCAATTTCACATGCAATAATTTTGCAAATGTAGCATTTTTGGTCTTCTCTTAACCGCTTGAATTCAACCGTATGGCAAACGAATTTTACGGATTTTGCTTATACAAACTTTTAAAAATTATAATCTCGTCAGTAACTTATTTTTTTATAGAATTTTTATGGTGAGATGACACGTATATAAACCAAGCCAGAGGCCTTTTTATAATCTATAAATATTCATATACCTAAATTACGATGAGGTTGTTATCCACATAATTTATCAAGGAGTAGAACTAAAATTTCAAGCAAAATTGGACCAAAAAGGCTAACTTTGTAAAGTTATTGCATGTAAAATTGAAATAGGACAATCTAGAAGACTAAATTCCTAAACCGGCCAACAATAGAGGACTAAAATTATAATTTTCCCTTAATTTGGCTACTATTATGTATTGATCAATTCACATTCGGGTTCCTGAAAGGCTTGAAGCCAATGCACAATCTCCATTTTAGCCCGACCGACCCGACCCGACCCGACCCGACCCGCAGTCAAGGCATCAACGCACTGAAATTCTCGAGAAGAAGAAAAGCAACTTCTAATTTTCAAAACAGTGAAGAAAAAAAGCAAATGTCTCTGACGACGAGGCAACGCCGCCCGGCGGCGACGGATCTCCACACGACGTCGTCGGATTCCCGCTACTCCAAGCTGGACAAGCCGGAAAGCTCCTCCGGCGACCGCGGCCTCCGGTGGCTCCTGCCGCTGTTGTCGCTGGGAGTGGTGCGGTACATGAGCGCCTCCTCCAACATAATCCACGACTGCGACGAGGTCTTCAATTACTGGGAGCCTCTCCATTTCATCCTCTACAAATCCGGCTTCCAAACCTGGGAATACAGGTTTCCGTTTAATTGACAATTTTATTTATTTAATTTTTTTTATATGCAGATTGTATTTATTTTTTGCCCTAATTTGTTTTCTAGTGTTTTTTGAACAAGATCAATCTGTTTCAGTAGTGCCTATATTTGAATTTGCAGCTCAACAGTTATGTATTTGGAACTATGTACTCGTATATTCGTTGTTCGAAATAACTTCGTAATTGTGTATTGTCGTAAAATTGCAACTAATGATGGCATTGCTAAATTAGCTGGTGAAAAAAAAAATTATTTTCTAATTTAATTCTTGTCCAAAATTACGACCAGCATATTCATGTGTGTGGATGATATTATCAAATCTTATAGTTGCTGAAAGGCATAATAATGTTGATGTTGAAATTCATACTCGATATCGTTTGTTTGCATTCTGCAGCTCCGAGTTTGCGCTGCGGTCGTATTTATATATACTTTTCCACAACATAGTTGCCTGGCCTGCTTCTTGGTGGTTTGGTGAAGAAAAAGTAAGATGTTTCTTCGTATTCCTTTTCTTTCGTACTCCACTCGATTCAATTGAATTCTCGTTTTGCATTTCTGAATCGTCTGTGCTTTTATAAAAACTTCAGGTGAGAGTCTTTTACGCTGTCAGGATGTTTCTCGGCCTTCTATCCGTCGTTAGTGACGCTGCCCTTGTTATAGCCCTTTCGAGGAAGTACGGAAAACGTCTTGCTTCGTATGCACTGGCAATGCTGTGCTTGGCCAGTGGTTGTTATTTCGCTAGCACTAGTACGTACGACTTTCTCGATTAAGTCTCTCTAGTTTTCACTCTTTATCCTGCACGTATATTGAGTTATATGGTAAAAGAATATGAAAGATGGGAACACTGGTTTTTAGTTTTACGTAAGTAGTTAATATTTGATTATTCGATCCAAAAAAAGATACATTAGGGACTAGGGGTTGTGCATCAATTGCATCATGTTCTTCGTTAATGAATCATAACTTCTGTTCGCATGCAGGTCTCCTGCCAAGTTCGTTCTCTATGTATGCGATGTCTTTATCATCCGCACTTTTTCTTTTCGACAAGCATGCAGCTGCAGTTGCAGTCGCTGCCATTGGAGTAATTCTTGGATGGCCATTCTCACTCTTGGCATTTCTTCCTGTTACAATTTTCTCCTTACATAGAAGGTTCAAACGTGCGTTTCTGTCTGGTGTCGTAACTTCTGTTGCTCTTTTGGTGAGTTGAATTTACCAACAACTCTTAACATTTGTTGAAATTTTTCAATGCTTCTGCAATTTCTTGACTACACACCATGCTTTAATATTGTACTGTACATTTTCTTGAAATTTTTTTCAGGCAACGTCAGTTATCGTTGACTACTTCTACTACGGAAAGTGGACTTCATCTGTTCTAAATTTATTGATATATAATGTATTAGGTGGTGGGCAGAGTCATTTGTATGGCACCGAGGGAGCATTGTTTTACCTGAAGAATGGCTTCAATAACTTCAACTTTTGTTTTATCCTTGCTCTGCTTTTCGTTGTGATACTTCCCATTGCAAAGAAGAAGTACGTCCCAGAGTTGTTGGTCATCATCTCACCGATGTATATCTGGCTAGCTTTTATGTCTTTGCAGCTGCACAAGGAAGAGAGGTAAAGTTCATGCTGAACCTACAACTTTTCATTTATTTTCTTCGTAACAATTTTATAATTTCTAATAGTGTTCGTTAATTAAATGTACTAATGACTCTGTCTCAAGCAAGCTACAAAACAAAATTCTTAATTCTGCATACTGGCTTTCATAAATGGATTAAAGTTTGTCAATACACATCTTAGAAGAAGGGGTTCAAGGATTGGGGAATGTAATCGAGAAAATCACAATTTGGTTTAAATCCTTCAGATCACTTGATTTACTTAATAGAAAAACGAAAAGTCTCTAACTTGATTTTGTGAAGAAATGAAACCGGTTGGTAATTCTTGATGTGATTCAATTATTTTGCAGATTCCTGTATCCCATATATCCACTTATCTGTGTAGCTGCAGCAGCTGTAATCGAGAGCTTTCCTGATTTATTTCGGGATAAGTACAATCCAAACCATAATTCTGTTCTCGTCGTGGTAAAACTTCTATATTCATAATCCATTCTCTTATTAGCTCGATTGGTGCTGCTTAAAATCAACTCTTTGTTTGCATGTACGGATATATATATAACTTACTCTTGCTTTGCCTGTACAGATTGCAAAAGCTCTACGACCTCTTGCTCTTGGACTCATTTTATGCGCCTCGCATTCTAGGACTTTTTCCTTGATCAATGGCTATTCAGCTCCTTTAGAGATTTACAAGCATTTCGAACACCATGACGATGCAGGAGAAGGTAAGAAAATGTTTGAATAAAAAATGACACTTCTCTCCTAATTAGATACATAAACATCAAATTACATATAAGTGCCTCGAAAGTTAACTATAGTCACAAAGTTATTTTGTCGGTTTAAATTTTTAAAATTGATTGATTTTTTTATAAGTAGAATATATATAGTTAGTTTGTAAGGTGGTTTCTGTTGCAACATATGTTCAATTTATGTCCACTACTTTTGTGTATACATCTCATATGTTCTTTGCTCTCTGTCTCATATGTTTGCTTAGATGTTTGATGGTGGTTTGCTTACGTGGATTTCTTGATTTTGTATGGATTTATATGTATAATGTATATATAGGTTCTGTTCTGTGTGTTGGAAGTGAATGGCATCGATTCCCATCATCGTTTTTTGTTCCTGATTATGTGGGAGAGGTTAGATGGATAGATGACGGATTCACTGGTCTTCTCCCTTTCCCATTCAACTCCACATTGGGCGGAACTTCTGCTGCTCCGTTTTATTTCAACGACAAGAACCAGGCATCTGACCAACAATACGTAATTTCTTTCTAACTCCTTTTTTTTTCCTGTTATAAAATTCGCGAGAACCACCTTTGTCTTAATTTCGCCTTTAGCAAAAACTTACTCTTCTTCCCCATTGTTTAACGTAACAGCTGCAAGATCTAGATAAATGCACTTTCCTCGTAGAATTACAGCTTCAAAGGCCTTACCTTCCTCGAGGGAGTGACTTGAAAACATGGGAGGTAAATCTCTCTCTCTCTCTCACACACACACATACATATTTTTGGTTAATCTTATGGAATTTGATCACAGGTGGTGGCAGCATTACATTATCTCGATCGGGAATTGTCACCCCCCATGCACCGCTCGTTCTTCATTCCGTACCTTTGGCAGCAGAAGAACGTATTCGGCTTGTACAAACTTCTCAAGCGAGTACCAAAATTGTAACCAAAATGTACGACCACAGAATCCCTTATGTTGTTCCAACAAATATATAGTAGTTCTGAGATGCACCCATCAACTACCCCAACCTTTAATTTACTACGACTTTATCACTCGTTTCATCTGTACACGTAAACTCAGAGAAATTTGATCGCTTGCTTTCGATTCTGACTAGGGCTGAGAGGTTACCTTGACTTTCTGTCATTTTTTTGTAAAACCTAGGAATTGTGATTGCTTACTTTTCCGGAACTAACTGTGGCTGTATGATTGTCGATTGATGAAGATGAATTACTGCACTTTTTCTCATGCTTCTCTTGGTTAGAGAGACTCCTTATGGTAATTTATTTAAATCAGTAAGGCCTTGTTTGGTTGTCAATATAAGATTACCCAAAATAAGGTTAAATAATTTAATGAAACTCAATTGTGTATTATTTAACCTTGGAATGTTCAATTAAAAAAATATGCCTAGAAGATAAGATAAACCATAATAATATAATATTTACGTGTTGACCAACAAGTTATGGAGGATACCAAACATCAAATAAAATTCAATTATTTAATTAATAATGGTTAATCTCACCAACTAAACAATGCCTTAGTCAATTAAGTTACAAATGAATGAGCATATACGTTATAATATGTAAAATACGTATGAATTTATACATGTATCGTAAGATATAATCTAGTGGAATCCATGGATGTAGCACAAAATAAACCGTCTATATTTTTTTTAAGGGCAAATGGCAAATAGGCCCATGACAAGGGCACTTAATTAAAAGAGAGACATCCAACTTTTTTGTCTTTTAAATAAATCCAGCCCATTCAAACTTATTTGTAAATAAGGAAAATCTCATTATATATACCAAAATTACCCTCAATTCATTGAAACCCATTTCAATTCCAATTTCATGATTTACATCCCAATTTAGCCCAATTTCATCAATTAACCAATTTTAACCCTAATTTCAATTTTGACCCCAATTTTGACCTGCCACCAACGGAGACCGCCGGTCGCCGCCGTTGACTTTTTTTTTTTTTCTTAAAAATAATATTGTAATTAATATTACTGTCTTGGCTGCTAAATTACTGTCTCCGGCAGTTATTTAACTATCTGAGACAGTAATTTAACTGTTAATTGATTTTTTTTTTCTTCAAAAATATTTTAATTAATATTACTGTATTCGTTGCTAAATTACTGTCTCCAGCAGTTATTTAACTGTCGGAGACAGTAATTTAACTGTTAATTAACTTTTTAATTCTTAAAAAAAATATTTTTAATTAATATTACTGTATTCGTTGCTAAATTACTGTCTCGAGCAGTTATTTAACTGTCGGAGACAGTAATTTAACTGTTAATTAACTTTTTTTTTTGAAATTCTTTTTCTTAAAAAAAATTATTTTAATTAATATTACTGCCTTGGCTGCTAAATTACTGTCTCCAACAGTAATTTAACTGTCTTAGACAATAATATTAATAATATTACTGTTCGGGAAAATAATATTCATAATATTACTGTCCCAAACAATAATATTACTGTCTGAGACAGTAATTTAGTAGCTAAGACAGTAATATTAATTAAAATATTTTTTTCTAAGAAAAAGAAAAAAAAAAAAAGTCAACGCCGGAGACCGGTGGTTGACCGGCCGGAAAAAAAATTCAGGAAAAAAAAAAACAAAAAAAAAAAACAAAAGTCAACGCTGGAGACCGGCGGTCTCCGGCGGTCAACGCCGGAATCTGGCCGGAAAAAAAAAATTTCAGAAAAAAAATTATTTTCTGAGAAAAAAAATATTTTGGGGGTTAATGTGATATATTTGTTTAAATCCAGGATCAATGTGTAATATTAAGGAAGTTAGAGCATAATGGGTGGAATTGATAAGAATTATATTATGGAGGGTATTTTGGACTAAAGACATGGGATGGGCTTAATTGAGAGACTGTTTTTTTTGTGGATCAAAATGCATTTATGTCCCATGTGATGGGCCATTTTATCATTCGCCCTTTTTTTAATCAATACATTAAAAAAGAATAATAAATAAAGAAATATTCTTTTCATAATGAAAAAAGAAAACAAATTGCGTCCGTACAATATTATGATGCATGGGAATGTGTGTATCAGCATTCTCTCCTCTCCAAGTGTGTGGAATGCCGTAAAACCAGTGCAAAATAATCGTTCCTTCCACCACCATTTTTTAGCTTCTCTCTCATCCTTTCTCTCACTATAAATACTGCCATGCAAACCACCATTTTCAAATCGTACACACAACAAGAAGAAGAGTGAGAACAACAGTTTTCAAGCCCCCCAAAAATAAATAATAAATAATAAAAAGGATCACAAAATAAATAAAAATAAAAATGGCTAAAACTGTTGCTCTCATCTCCGCCCTCTGCTTCCTCGCCGCCGTCGTCCACGGCCACCAGACGGAGCATTTCAACGTCGAGGGCGACGTCTACTGCGACCCTTGCCGCGTCCAGTTCGAAACCGTCCTCGCCCAACGCCTCATCGGTAAATCAATCAATCAATTAATCTCCGATTTCAAAACCCTAATTTAATTTCGAATTTTGATTTTTGGGGGTTTTCAGGCGCGACGGTGCGATTGGAATGCAGAGACCTAGTAAAGAAGGCGGTGACTTACTCAGTGGAGGGGGTGACCGGATTCAACGGGCATTACAGTCTGCCGGTGGTCGGAGACCACCAGAACGAGATCTGCGAGGTCGCCGTCGTGAAAAGCCCGAGGCCCGATTGCATCGAGCCGATGGGAGATTTCGCTAAATCGAGAATCAGCTGCACCACCAACGACGGTACTCACGCCGCCGTCAGATTTGCTAACCCCATCGGATTCATGACCGGAGCCGCCGTTCCACAGTGCACCCCTGTCCTCTTCGATTTGGGTGTTCTCGTTAACTAAAAAACTTATATAAATAAATAAAAAAGAAAAAGTTTTATTTATTAATATTAATTAATTATTTAATTAAATAAGTTGGCTTCTCTTGTTGTTCTGTGTATTCAATTGTTATCAATTTGGCCAATAAATACTGGTAAATGAAAAAAAAAGAAAAAAAAAAGAAAAGAAAAAAAAGGGGGAATTTCCTATTTATTTTTTTTCTTTATTTTTTTATTATTATTTTATTTATTGGCTGTATGGTAATGAGGAGTCTGTTAATTTCCTGTTTTTTTTTTCGGTGACATTATTGTAATGTTCATATCTGAATAAAATAAAAAAAATGTTCTAATGTTTATTGTTCTTTTTATTTTTTATTTTTTATCTGTTAAGGATTTAATAATGTAATAATATCCATGCAGTTGATGCATTGATAGAAGCTAGAAACATAACTAAGATAAAATAAATGTAAATGGGGTTAAATAAGAAAAGATCGCATAAGAATTACTAATTTGGATTCTCGTTTCGCTTACGTTTTAGTTATCTACGGTGAAACTGGAACGAAATTTTTGAATTTCGTCGATTTCAATTCAAAATTTTCAATTTTAGAACAAAAAAATTTCATTTATGCTTCATGTTTGATTTTTTTTTTTTTTTTTGATCGGAATTTGAACGCGTATGAGATTTCGATATTAATTCCCGAAAATTACACTTCTAATATTAATTTTATTATGTAGTTTACATTAGGCTAATAAAAAATAGAAATTTTAATTTCCGCTCCAATCCCATAAAAGAAAATGGAACTAGTTGTTTTCATTCCGATTCCGAAATTATGATATTTCCGAATATTTTTTGAAATATAATTGAAATTAGTTATTCAATTCCACTAATTTATTTTTAATTTTTATGTGATTCATTTGATTTATTACCTCTACATATAGCAAATGGTACGAATTAAAGTAATTTCTGGTTTTAATATAATTTGCATTTTTTATAAAAGAAAGAAAAAGAATATAACCATTAAATTGCCATTCAAGAACGTAATCGTGCTTGCATAGACTTTTTTTTATTAATAAATTATATATATATATATATATGAAATAAAATACCGTTTATTACATGTTACACGATGAAATACAAATTTCTGATATATTTTCTTTGAAATCATACAAAAGACTAAATTAACTATAGTTTCTAAACGGTAAAAACACAGAGGATTACAATATAATCGCTGTTTAATAAGTTATAAATGTTATTTCAGTTTTCATAATATGGTTTCGACTTTAAATGTGAGTTTGACGATTTTTGAGCCTGAACATGGGAAAACTCTAAACACGAAATTTGTAGTTCTTTGATTTAGCTCTCGAGTCCAACTTGAATCACCAATATATAATTATATATGAATGGATTCATTAACAATGCTCATAATTAACACATTTGACTTATCAAAATTTCAAAACTTAATTCATTCATGCATAACTTTATCACACGACGTTCAATCTAGTTGATCCAAGAAAATTAATTCAAAAGATTACAATTTCAGCGTTTCTAATTTTTGCCAAAATCAGGCTAAAAATATTTCAAAAGCACGTTCAAATTTAAAACGGCACTAGTAATATTGAACAATATCTAACATTTCAATTGTTATACATATCCAAATTCAATAGTCACAATAAACAACCCCCAAATTGCAAAAACAAAAAGAAATACCGACGACCACTGATTTATTATTATTACTATTATTTTTAATTATTTAATTATTAATATGAATTTACAAAATAAAGATGAAAGTTTCTCTGAACGGTAATCATTCCCCATTTTCTAGAGAGAGAGAAAAAAGAAAAAAGAAAAACCCTTTTATTAGCGTAAACTCTCCGACGAAGAACAACACAGGAAACGGAAAAAGCTTCGCAAAATCAATTCAATGGCTAACAGCAATTTACCGCGTCGGATCATTAAGGTACAATCCCGATCTTTGTATTCTACTCACGATCCCTCTTTTATGTCAACTCTAAACCCTAGATTTTGTGTTTTTTTTTTGAATTTGAATTGAATTGGTTGGTTTTTTTGTTTAATTTCGCTCTGATATTTTGTTGATTGACCGATTTGTGAATTTTTTCGTGTTTTGTTATATAGGAAACGCAGCGTCTTCTGAGCGAACCAGGTAAGCCTTTCAATTAAGTTATGATTCCGACGAATTAAATCTAATGAAAATCTCAATTGTATTTCTAATATGCAGTTTTCGTTAATTGTTCTTTCTGTTGTTTCTGTGTTCTTTCCGATTTTTTTCACTCCATTGACTTGAAAATGAAGCTTGCCGGTTCAGAATTTTATGCGTTTTATTTGCGGAAATTGATCTCTAGTGCATCGTGATAAAATATCGAATTTGTGAATTTTGTTCCTATTGAAGTTTTCAGTTTTAACTATTACTCTGGTTTTAAATATCGAGAAAGGTGTTACTGGTTTCTGATCATGATCATTTGATTTGATCAACTAGTTACTCTGATCATTTTGCCCGTTTCTTCTGATCAGAGTGTGAATTTACAGTTGAGTTATTTTAGGTTTTGGTGAATCATTATTAGAGTTTGACTGTGTGTTTGTTTGGATGTGTGGATACAGCACCAGGAATAAGTGCATCTCCGTCAGAAGAAAATATGCGGTATTTCAATGTTATGATTCTTGGTCCAACACAGTCCCCTTATGAAGGTAAAAAGAACTAGCAAGTTTCAATGTAATATATTCAGTATGTGCCGTTTCTTCTTTCTGTGCTGAGAGTAGTAATGATATTTTATGGAATTTCTCATTGTGCATGTAGTTTTTCTCATTGTTTCATATGACTTTCGTAACATAAGTATTTGATTTATGCTGGTTCACTAGTTGATTGACTGCAAGCCTGCAACTTCTAGGCAAATCAATTTTCGGCATATGACATATGCTGGCATGTGTCACATCCTTTTCAAATGGGTCATTATATATTATAAATCATGTAAACGTTTGAAAAATAGCAACCTCCCTAGCCCTTTCCTTTTTCATGTTTCTCTATGTGATTTGATCAGTGATGGATGATGTGTATAATAGAAACATCCGTGCCTTCTTTTTATAAGACCTCGTATTATGGATGATGATTCTATCTAATTTTATGTTGTTTCTTGTTGTTTTATTGGCATTATAGGCGGTGTTTTTAAGCTGGAGTTGTTTTTACCTGAGGAATACCCAATGGCTGCTCCAAAGGTATTCCATATCAATGTTATTGGTTGCATATTGTAAATAGTCTGCATATGCTCGCACATAATCTAACACAGCTTACAAGAATAGGAAATTATAAATTTATTTTACTTGATTTATCTTACCCCAGTGCTTTTATACCATCCTTTGGTTTTTGGTACATTCCTTTGCCTATTTTGGTTATTCCTGTATCATTTGTTGATACTAGTGAAATAAATGGATCATTTTATGTAGGATATTAGTTTTGCGTAGTAGTTATAGATAGAGGAACAACGAGCTACTTCCTGTTAAGCTATTTTTTTCTAACTACTTCTAACTGCTTAGTAAATTCCTAGGGTTAAATCCCCGACCTGATTGAGCAATAGTGCTAATGGTCCATTTTCTAATCTCGATCCCTAAAATATCCTAAGGTGCAAGAACCACATATTTTGAAAGAAATTTATTTTGAGAGTGCCATTCGGTCGTATATCTCCTTGAGTTGAAGTACCTTTTAAGTGCAATTTTAATTGATTTATCTAAAGCCAAAACACCCTGGATGAACGAAATTCTTCGGTTACCTGTATCATGGAGAGTAGTGGAGATGGTTGTGGCTGGGTAGTGTGGTGTAGTGGCTGAATATGTTATAAGGGATAAGAAAGCAGGAAAAAGTAAATGCAAAGAAGAGAACGTTGAGAGTGTATAAGCTCTCATTTAATTGTGATAAAATAAGATTCTTTTAATAGAAGTTACTTAACTTGGGTTATTTTTTGTATTCTCTTATAAATAATCTTGCAGTATTCGTATTTGACCATTTCACGTAATTACAGAAATATCCGCTTGATAAGATAATGATGTCACGGTTCAATTATGGATTGCTGCAGGTTTATTTGTTTGTTGAGCCCAGTTTTATGACCTAGAATTATGATTAGATAAACTCGAGTAGGTTCTTCAGGCATAGCTACTATTAGAGAGTTATTTATTAACCAACTTGGAGTAATTACGGTGCTGTGAAAAAGAATTTTATTTCAGATTTTGTTCGAAAATAAAATTAGGGTTGCTCGAAAACAGGACTCTGTTATTGAGAGTTGTCAAATATTTTGTGTGAAATGAAATTGACTTTTATGTGGATCAGAAGACACATGCCTGACTGTTTTACGCTGTAAACCGACAGGTTCGCTTCCTCACTAAAATCTACCACCCGAACATCGACAAGGTTTGTTGTCCTAATTTCGATTTTCTCGCTCTCGATGTTTTTTTTGTCCACTATGCTTTGCATCTTTGCCTGATGATATTTTAGTGCAGCTTGGAAGAATATGCCTAGATATTCTCAAGGACAAATGGAGTCCTGCTCTTCAAATTAGAACCGTACTTTTGAGGTAATGAAAGTTTTATAGTAAACTTAATTACGTAACATATGTTTGTTTATCTCTAATTTAAAAATCACTCGTTTTGGTTGTTTTTAGCATTCAAGCACTTCTTAGTGCTCCAAATCCCGACGACCCACTTTCTGAAAACATCGCCAAACATTGGAAATCAAACGAGGCTGAAGCTGTTGAAACAGGTTTCCTTAAAATTATAATTCTTTAATGCGTATTGCAGTAGTTAAATATCTTGTGAAAACATTATGTTCCTTAGTTTGATTATTATTATTATTTGATCAAAGTTTTGTTTATCAATCCTGCAGCTAAAGAGTGGACGCGTTTATACGCAAGTGGTGCGTGAAATTACGTGGAAATTCGGGGTTTCGTTCGGTAACTAAAAAAATTGTATTTGCATCTCGTTTAAATGAAATATTCGGAAGAATGATGGTCAAGACCATTGGAATTTACTGTACTACTAAGCATTACTACTTGTTTTCGTGTTTTGAACTGTCTTTGGAAAATGTGCATTAATATAAAGGCACTTACTGGTATAAAACTGTCGATTATTGCTAGCTTCTTTTTTTTTTTTCGATAAATGGTTCTTACTAGTTTAAATCTATAATTTAATTGCATATTGTGAATATTTCAAGAAGTCATGGCAAAATAGTTGATTTGAAAATATTGATACGAATTATCGTTTAATTTTCTCTTAATATAGGAGAACAATCGAACTCGTTTGGGTAAATATCGATGTCGAAGAATTGTTCAAAGCAAATGATTATACTAAATAAGTAACTTAAAACCTGAAAAATAGATAAGAGTGAGTAAGAAAAAAGATGAATTGGTTGATTAATTGATTAGGGTAAATTTTGAAAAACACCTCCACCTTTATGTAATTATCAAAATCCCCGACGTTTGTTTCCGCCTTACACCGACCTCGTTATGGTGTAATTTTGCATGGAATCTTTTTAATTCTAGTTAATATTTCATGAAAAATGTCAATTCGACCCCTGCAAAAGGGACATTTATTCACATTTTTTAAAGAGAAAAATCACCCTGAAGTTGGTAATGGTGTACTAAAAAATTGTGAAGGTGTTATTCATGAAGAAGTAAAGATTCCGTGTAAAGCCCCCTAGAGGGAAATTTTTGACATTAAAAAATAGCATAAAGAAATGCCAGGTCTGTAGAGATAGAATCGTCATTTTCAAGAAATATTATTTGGACTAAAAAAATCCATTAAAAATCACGCTATAAGAGGGTTGCTGTAAGATGAAAACATATCAGGGGTTTATAATAATTACAGATCGGTGAGGATGTGTTTTGCAATTTAGCTTATATATATATTCATGGGGTTTTCGTAATTTGCCCAATTGATGATTATGGCTTGGTTAGTCTTGGACTCACGAGTATTGGAGGTGAAAAAAAAAATCAAGAGGGAAGAATCAAAATATAAACACAATACTGAAAAAGTAGAACCAAATATAACCATTAGCGGAGTCGGAATTTTAAGTTCGAGGGGTCGAATGCATTATTAAATAATTTATGAGATGGGCCGTTAATGTGCTAATTCTATATACAAAAAAAAATATTTTTAAATAAATTAATAGTGATTTGAGAAATGTTGGAGGGGTCATGACCCCCAACCCTATACTGACTCCGCCACTGCATATAAAAACACTATAACTGAAGATAAAAAAATCTAGACAACAAATAAGAATATTAACAAATAAAAACTCCCGATTAAACCAATGCTATTAACAAATCAAACTAACTTCGATTAATCCACCCAACTTTTAGCTTAAAAACAAGAAATTAATGTAAGTACGCACCCCATATAAAGAAAAACCATAACATGCATGTATACAACAAGTAACTAATCTTGTCACAAACCCGAAAAAAAAAATGGCGGAAAACGAAGGAGGGATAGTGAAAAAGGGCCACGAAGAAGGGCTGAAAATGGCGGTATCGCTGCTGGAGGAGTTCGGGCTGCCGGGCGGACTTCTGCCGCTAGCAAACGTGATAGAAGTAGGGTTTGTTCGGGCCACGGGGTACATGTGGATAGTGCAACAAAAGAAAGTGGAGCACGATTTCAAGATGGCGAATAAAGTCGTGAGTTACGGTAGCGATATAAACGCGTACATAGAGACGAAGAGGATAAAGAAGCTGAGGGGGGTGAAGGCGAGGGAAATGATGATGTGGCCCCCGGTGACTGAAATAAGAGAGGATGATCCGCCCACCGGAAAAATCCACTTCAAGAGCCTCGCCGGAATTACCAAGACTTTTCCGGTCCAGGCCTTTGCTTTCGGACAGTGATTCTTTTTTTTTTCTTACATATATACTAGCAATTCTCCTCACTTGCGATGCACGGGGATGCATAAAGGAAGAAAAGTTAAATATATGATAATTAAATTGTATTAACAAATAAACCACATCGATTTCTGTATCCGAACGTATTAGGATTTTGTTAAAGGATTTGCAAATCTGATTCACTATGAAAATTATTAGAAAAAAAGCTGGAAAATATGAAACAAATAAAAAGAAAATTATTTATTTTTCTTACAAATTAAATATGTCGTGTCTCGGCCCCGGATGTACCA